CCTTTTGCCCCCTCCCCAGCGGGGGCAGGATTCCTCCCCCACCCACACTCTCCTGTGCCGTTTCAGAGCCGCCTGAATTCATATGCAGCCCAGAGAGAGCTGGCAAAAGCTGCCCGGTCCTGCAGCTGGACAGCACCCCCCAGTCCCGCCGTGGCCGCAGGAAGTCCGGTGAGTGCCCTGCAGCCAGCATGTGAGGGCAGGAGAGGAGTGTGCCCCCCTGTTGCTGCGGGGGCAGGGGTGAGGGGGCACCTCCTGACTGGCACAAAGGGGCCAGATCTCCATAGACAATCTTGCTTTTCATGTTTGCTGGCTCTTGCCAGTGTGGGCTTGTTCCACAGCACAGAGTAAAGGAATTCCTTCTACAGAGTCTGTTCATGCTGATGCTCATTGTGCAGCAATTTCTAATACATTAAAATCTTCCATCACAATCCCATCTTTGGGAGGGGAATGGGGCCTAGTGGTTAGAGCAGAAAACAACAGGCTCAGGACTCCTGGGTTCCCTGCCAAAGACGCCCTGTGTGATGTTGTACAAGTCTCTTCCCCTCTTTTTGCCTCAGTTTCCCTGGCTCTCATTCTGCCTGCTGGGGTGGGTGATTACAGGGGAGCACCCTGGGCAAGCTAAGAAGCCTCAGTCCTCCCTGGCAGGGTGGAACCCAAACAGCCTTTTCCTCCCGGGGGCTTCAGCTAACGCTTCCTCCTTTGCCCCCAGAGCCAGGCACTGAGCTGAGCCAGATGGGAGTGCAAAATGGTACGTACCTGCCCCTCCCCCGTCGGTTTCCATTCACTGCCAGGCCGGGGGTCTCCCACAGCCTCCTGGTACCCCTCAATCCTGACCCTCTAGCCCCCTTGCATCCCAGCCGGTTGCGGTGCCCATAGGGCTGCCTTGTCCAGTCCTGAGTTTGGGATCTCAGCCTTCCCAGAGCGTCTTGCCCTTTCCTCTGGTGCAGGCAGGATGCCGGGGCAGATGGGCCCATCGGATCCAGTTGGAAAATTCTGTGTTCCCCTAGGTGGGGCTGGCCCGTTGGGTCTGTGCTGGTTGAGATTGGGGCCAGCTGCTCAGGTGTCTAATGCTGGGTTTGTCTTTCTCCTTCCGTGCTAAGGTCGCTGTCGGGGGCTCCCAGCCACCCCCAAATTGAAGGTAAGAGGCCAGCGTGTTCTGGGCTTTCCCTTCCCCAGTTGGCATTTTGTTGCTGCCTAATGGGCCTTGGACTGGGGGCAGGGAGTTGCTAGGTGTGCGTTGTGCTCCCAGCTCGGGGAGGGGATGGGGGTACTGGAGCTAGGACTTTCCTCTGAGAGGGGAGTGGGGTCTAGTGGTTGGGGGGGAGAGTCAGAATCAGGACTCCAGGGTTCTCTCCCCAGCTGTGGGAAGGAAGGGAGGTTTAGTGGTTAGAGTAGAGGAGGAGGGAGGCTGGGAGCCGGGGCTCCTGGGTTCTCTCCCCAGCTGTGGGAAGGAAGGGAGGTTTAGTGGTTAGAGTAGAGGAGGAGGGAGGCTGGGAGCCGGGGCTCCTGGGTTCTCTCCCCAGCTCTGGGAAGGAAGGGAGATTTAGTTGTTGGAGTGTGGCCGGCGGGAGGCTGGGAGCCGGGGCTCCTGGGTTCTCTCCCCAGC